TGTGAAGCCGCACGTTGCTCTGTCCCGGCCAACTTTACGAGCTGGTGATTTTTCACGGTGAGCTCAATTTATTAAAATAACACCAAACAGATAGAGTGATTGCATTGTACCACCCACGTCAGCCTGATCATGGAAAATATATGGTTATACCGGGTGCTTTATTTAAGTATGAAAGGATTACAGCTGCAAGTGTTTTTTTTTTTGTTTGTTTTCTATTGTTTTTGGCATGGGTCGATAAAGAATTGTTTCCACTGGCCACAGTCCATCTTGGCAAATCATCTCTTCCTGCAGATTCTTGAAAGTGGCAGATTAGACATATCTTAGTCAAGTAGTAGTAGAAAAACTTACCATAATTCCAAATATTTAGAAAGAAATATCTGCTTAGGAGCCTATACTCACTACAGAGCCAAAAGCCATTAGCTGATCATGAGTTTGAACAAACATAAATAAGGTCTAAATTTACAGTTTAAAATGTTCTCCCGTCACCGCATTGTGCTTATTATTAAAAGCATTAACCATTTACATGGTCCGAAACGTAGGCAGAAGTACATGCGAAGACAGAAAGATTTTGGGTAACCACCAAGTGACAACATAGAACCTTGACTTTGTCACCTAGGGGATTCTCAAATTCTTTGAACGTCAATTTTGTGTTTTTTCTTATAAAGATATATGCTTTTCTGAAACCTATTCAGACTGGCATCAGGATCTCATAGTAGTTCCTACTCTATGAATCGATATCACAAGACAAGTTAGGACTGTTTGGTTGTATGTACTTGGAGATTTTTGGCTTTTTCCTGCATCATCTTGTCAATTTCCACGAGTCCTATCAATCATGTACACCAGCATTTGTTATTTATTTTGGCTACACACGGCTTTTATGCCCAGACCCCTACATGGGGTCTCTCACACAAAAATACAGGGCTTTTCCTCCCAAGATCCTCTGTGCCTGAGAGATAATTGCGTTCTCGCACGAACACTGACAAATGCTGCCCCTGGCTGTTAATGTACGAATGTTCCCCCAGTTTGGTAGTTTTTGCCTCCCGAGCGCCGTTCTCATAACTGTTCGGGAAGTTGGATAAGCAGCAGCACCAGTTTACCAGGTGTTCGAGGGGTCGAGTAGCCGAAACTAGTTCCACGCCATCGACGACCATGTACCGCTGCCTGCGTTTGGGAGACAATATGCCTGCCATTTGCTTGCACACATGCATTTGGTTATATGAACGTCGACCACACAGGGGAAACTCTTTCCTTAACAAGCAATTTGTGGTTAACAGCCAGAGGTGGTCGGTTGTTAGAAGGTGCGAACAAGGGGATCACAGATGGAGGTTCGGTAAACGAATGGAGGTATACAGACAGCCAAACAACAGGAGGTAA